TTATATAATTTTCATATTAATAATGTTTGCAGACTTTGGGATTTCATTATAGCAACTAATATATTTTAAATGTCAGCTATTATATGTTCATTTCTTGAAATTAATAAAAATTAAATATTTTAAATGGATGATCTAAATGAATTTGTTATATGGTTTGATAAACATTAAAATAAAGAAATACCTTATAAATAAATGGAAAATATAATTTCAAAGTCTATTAATTATACTATTAATATAGAAAAAATTAATTCATATGCTAATTTATATTGCAAAGGTCATTCTAATAATCATCCTATACAAGTTGAAATTTCTAAAAACTATGATAAAATGACTTAATTAAAAAATTTTATAAAAACAGACATATTCGATTGATGATTTAATTATAAAATCTTTGTAAACAAATATATATAAATGAATTTTTTGAATATCTTAAAGCAAAATTTTTTATTTGAAGAATAAAAATAAATAAAAATATCATTTAAAATAATATCTTACAAAATATAATATATATATGTTTGTAATGTTCCATTTATATTTTAACATTAAAAATAAATATAATTTTTATTTAAACAAGAATCTACTCTTAGTTATTTTACCTCTTATATAATACATCTTAAATATTTTTTGATTATCATATAATTAAAATAGAAATTCATTATAATTTATTAATTAGACTTCAGAATAGCATTTATTTTCTCTTAAAGATCAACAAAAGGTTTATACAATAAGTTATAGGAATTATAATATTAAAGATTACATATTATTTATTATTTACTAAATGGAAATTAATTAAGAAACTCTAAACTTTTTATTTAAAGAATTATGTGGAATAGCTTTCTTTTAACAAAAATCATAAAATGAATTAAATGATCTTTATCAATATTACACATTGCAATAAGCTAAGTTAATGAATTAATTTTATCATTATTAAACGATCAATGAATAAGAATTAAAGTAAACTTGGTATTATATTATATAGATTGGTAAACAGATTCATAGCAAGAATTTCAGAAGCTTTTTAATTAATGGTGGCAAAAAGATAAATTGTGAGATGTTAAGAATCTAAATTTTAATCAACAATATATAATTGTTTGACTTCCACTTTTGAAGGAAAAAATAATCTTATCTGTTAGTTAATTTAAGCAATATATGGAGAGTGTAGACTTTAGATTGAAATATTAATAAATAAGAACCAAAAGATTGAAGTTAAAAGAGTAATTATTTATCAATATTAAGATACACAGTCAAGATAACAACAATGATGAAGATAAACTTCAGAATCAATTCTATTCAGTTTAAGTTACAAATAAGAAATATATTTAAAATGAATGGCAAGTTAATATTAAAAATAATAAAAAGTTGAATAATTACTATTCAAAAGTATTTCCTAAATTATATGATGTGATTAGCAATGCTGATAAGTATATAATATATAATATTAATAATAGTTAGGATGAATAAATTCTTTATTTCTAAAACAGAGATTAAAATATGGATAGAATATTCAATTAGTTACTTTAGTAAAATTAACATATAAAATAATCATTAAATTGGTCAATCAATTTGGATCAACAAATATATAACAATAAGATTGAATAAAAATTATAAAAACTAAAATTATAATAATTAATCCCAAGTCATTAATTATCAACATAATCATCTCCAACAAAACCTTCATAACCATCAAATAAATCAATTAAATAAAATACTCCTATAAGTTCCTTCAAAAATATCATTATTAATAATAATAACAATTTTGGTAAAATGCCATCAATCAAAGTAAAATTCAGAAGTATATCACAGAATGTTCCTTTGAGTGATACAAATTTTAAAAGTTAAAATATTTTCTTGAATTCTCAACAATAAACATAATAAAATATATAATCCTAATAATATTATTCATCAGAAATAGAAAAAAACGAGCTGTTCTCTAAAATAATAGAAACTTATAAACAAAATTAATTTCAACTAAATAAAGTAAAAATAGAATTCAAACCTAAACGTTAATATTGCTCTGTTCTAAAGAGTAAATTAATGATAGATCTCATACCACTTCATAACTCAAAATTAAAGCCTAAAGCTACTCGATATTTTTTGTAATAAATACCATTAATAATTAATTGATTCTATTGTGTATTTATTAAATTACATTTGTATCATATAATAAATATGTTATTTTTATTAATTAAAATTTCCATATGATTTTTTATACTTAATATAACTCATTCAAATATCCACTTAAAAAACATATATTAAATTATAAGAATTTTATTATTAAATTCATACAATCATACTTGATTTTTTTTAATCGAACACATAACTTATTATTATTTTATTAAAAAACTAGGATATTTGGTCTAATTTCAAAGAGTATTTTCCAATTTATAAATTTTATTAATTAATAATTAAATATATGGGCTGTGGAACTTCTGCTAATAATGAAACCGTCGATACAGATAGTAGAAAAGATATCGATGATTTAATGGGTAAGAAAATACCAAAAGTAATTATTCGTTATTGAAGTTATAGTTTCTTATACAACCTTAATATACTACTTAAGGAGTATAATAATCAGAGATGTCTGATGGAGAGGACTAAAAAAATGATATTCAAGGTGATTATCATAGACAAGGAAAAAAAGCTTAGAAAAAGTTTAAAGGTGGGGATGAACAAAATGTTCAAATAGTGGAAAATATTATTAAGTTAGATAAGACAATACAAAGTAATATATTCATATTAATTATATAGAGAGTGATAGATAAATGATAGAAAAGAGTTTCAAGAGTCATTTTGTATTTTTTAATTTGACTCAATAAGCCATTGATTATCTAATTAAAAACTTAGTGTTTTGTACATAGAAAAGAGATTAGTTCATCTTTTAATAAGGAGATTAAGTATATAAGCAAATGAATTTTAGGCTACTTCTTACTTTATTGTATAAAAAGGACAAGCTGAAGTTATAATCAACCAAAAATAAGTTAAAGTGATATCAGAAGGAGAATATTTTGGAGAGATTGCCTTATTGTACAATGCAACAAGAAGTGCATCAATCAAAACAATAAGTATTTAAATTTCTTATATGTATAGCTGACTGTAATTTTTGGATGCTAGATAGAGGAACCTTTAGAAAGGCAATTGAAGATATGATGATTAAAGAGTATGATGATAATAGAAAGTTTATAAATGAAGTTACATTCTTCTCTTTTATGACACCTGAATAAAGAGATTCAATTGCTCATGCATTAATTACAACTAAATTTGAACCAGGAGAAACTATAGTAAATGAAGGAGATTAAGCAGATTCCTATTATGTAATTAAATCAGGTACAGTTGGAGTTTTCAAAGGAAAAAAATAAATAAATACAATGGGACCTAAAGACAGTTTTGGTGAATAAGCTTTATATGAGAAAAGTACAAGAGGAGCATCAGTTAGAGCTGAAACAGAAGTTAAGTGTTTAGCATTGGGAAGAGATAATTTAACTAAAATATTAGGAGATAAAGTTTAGTTGATTATTTTTAATAATATTATGAGATGGAGTCTTGAAAAAAGTAATATTTTAAATTAATTAACAAAATTATAATAAGAAAAGATTACATTAAAAGCTAAGATATAAAATTATAAAAAAGGATAAGTAATATTTTAAAAAGATACTAAATGTGAATAATTAGTAATAGTACTTGAAGGAACATTATAAAGTGATGATGACAAAATAGGTAAGGGAAATTGTTTTGGTGATTAATATCTATCATCAAATAAGAAAAATGATTTATTATCAAGTGATTATTTAATGGTTACAGATGGTGTTTTAGCATCTATTTCATTTACTTAAATGTTTAAAATACTTGGAGGAGATTTTGAAACAGCAATATAAAAGAAATTTGAATCACATGAAGTAAAAATAAAAAACATTGCGAATAGAGCAGATGCTTCTCATATTCGTGTTGAGGATCTTGTTTTTATTAAGAAATTAGGATCTGGTTAATTTGGATGGGTTTATCTAGTTAAACATAAAGATATAGATAGTTGTTATGCATTGAAAAGTGTATCTAAAGCTTCAATTGTTGAATAAAGTTTAGAAAGACATGTTTTACAAGAGAAAATGGTTTTAGAATTATGTAATTTCCCTTTTGTAATGTAATTTGTAAGAACATTTAAAGATGAAATATCTGTTTATTTTCTTGTCTAATATATAAGAGGAATGGAATTATTTGATGTAATTAGAGAGATTGGATTATTGAATAAAGAATAAACCTAATTTTATGTTGGAACTATGATTTTATGTTTAGAATATCTCCACTCTAATGGAATTGTCTATAGAGATTTGAAACCTGAAAATATTATGGTTAATTCTGATGGTATTATGATTTTAATAGATCTGGGAACAGCTAAATAAATTAGTAAAGCTAAAGGTTAAAGAACATATACTATTATTGGAACTCCACATTATATGGCCCCTGAGATCATACTTGGTAAGGGTTACTCTTATCATGTTGATTTGTGGAGTGTTGGAATATGCTGTTATGAATTTTTATGTGGAGGTGTGCCATATGCTGAAGATATTGAGGTAATCTATATATTTATAGAGTAGGATCCATATGAAATCTATGAAGAAATCATGAATAATTAATTAAAGTTCCCTCATTTCTTTAGAGATCGATCAGCTAAAAGATATATTGAATAATTATTGTCTAAATAACCTGAAGCAAGATTAGGAACTTCATATGCTGGTTTAAAAGCTCATGCTTGGTTTGATGATTTTGATTGGGATAAATTATTCAGTCATTAATTACAACCACCTGTATGTATATATATGTCACACTTTTAGTACATTCCTCCTAAAGAGAGATTGATTGGCGATTTTGAGATTGATAAAAAATTCTAATAAGGCAAATTAGTTGTATAAGAGATTAAAGCAGAATAGTAATAACAGAAGATAAAATACAGAAAAGAATTAGCAAAAGATCCAAATTGGGATAAATCATTTTGATGTAGACAAATGTTTTAATTATATTAAATATTTTATTGTAAATGTACACTATATTATATTGACTCATTTCTTGGTTTCTTTTGCTTACTTTCTTTTCTCTTTAACTCCCACAAATTTAGCATTGTACCATTCTTATCTTAATCTTCTATATACGTTTTTAGCTCTTAATTCCTTAGATATCACAGTTGCCTTTTCTCTCTTTGGTGTTCTTTAGAAAGTGATAACCTATAAATTATTAAACTCTAATTTACTTCTGGATTAGTATTCTATGTGAATGGTTGTTCAACAACATTATTAGCTGAATCTTTTACTACTCCATTCTTTGGTTTACCAGCAACTCTTGGGAATAAGACTAATTTTGATAAATATGCCTTAATTCTTTTAACATTAGCTGCCAATTCTTCTTAACTGTTGTTTCTTCTTCTGTGATCTACAGCAATTCCAACTGTTCTGGCAAATTATGCATTAAGACCTGCTTCTTTCAATTCAATAAGTGAGAATCCTCTTCCCAATTTCTAAATTCCATTATATTTAATTGTTTAGCCTCTTACAACTGGTCTAAGTAATTCTACTGGTCTTGGAGATGCTCCTATTTTAAGTATTTAATTATCATATACTTAATGCATTGGCTTATCTTCTTTATTGTCTTCTTCTCTTTGCAGCTGGTTGATTATAGAAGGTCTTAACAAATCTTGTCCAATGCTTTCTTAAATGGGCATTTGGGAGTTGTTAATTATGCTTCATCTTTAGAAAATTTAAAAAATAAATATATGGATATTTAAAAAATATATGAAATGTCTCAAATGAGAATTATTCAATATAAAAATCATTACTTTCAAAGTTAAGTAATTATCCTCAAAGATTGTCTATGTATTTAAATAACTAATTTACTTCATCGATTCCTTTCTATTCGATTTTCTATCACTGTTAATTGAAGTCTCTTTATTGTCTTATCCCTTTGCTTATATTATTTAGACTGTTTTCAATTGAGAAATAGAATTCTCAAAGTGTAATTCTGTTTTTTTAGTCTTATTATCATCAAATATCTCAACAAGTTTTGGTTATATCATAATATATTCTTTTTAAGTTTGGACTAACTTATTATCAGAAGGTGATTTCTTCATAACAATCGAATCTTAAGACTTGTCCCTAAAATAGAGTATATAAACTAACAATTTTACAATGTATTTAGTATGAATGATTTTGTTTATATATGTGCACGACTAGATGAAATCTTTTTTGATGCTTTCATTAAATGACAGCTGAAATTAATAAAAATAAATTAACTTACAAAAATTGATATGAAAAACTATTTAAATCATCTTTATTATATCAATCTATATACAATTACAAATTAATATAATCTCTAACATTTATTTCATAATAAAGGAAAAAATTAATCTATTTGTTAATAAATACTTTATGTTTAAAACCCTTCCTTTCATTTAAGAATATTTACAAGAATATCACTTTTTTAAATATATTAATCAATCTAAATTTTTATACACTCTATATATAAAATGTATATAAGTGAAGTTATATTTATAATTGATTTTGAATGTGTATATATCAAAATATTCAGTCTTTAGCTGCTCTGTAAATTTTATTACAAGCATCTTCTAACAATCCTAAAAGAGATTCTTAAGATTCTTCTCTTAATTTTTTTTCTTCTTCTATTTCACTCTTAACTCTAGAAACCAAATCTTTAAGCATTTCAAATATAGCTGCTTCAGATTCTTCTCTTTTATAATTTATTTTATTAATACCTTAATTTCTTTTAATTTCCTAAACCTTCATTCAATCGTTTAATTTCATCTCCTGCTCTTCTCAATGTACCATTATCATTATCTTCTCTATCTTATCCTTCTGATTTAACCATATCATATAATTTTGGTAAATCATTTTCCAATGAGGTTGTTATATTTTCAACTTACTCTTATCTTATCTTTCCTTCAGTTTGTATGTCAGATTTCAGATATACAACCTAATTATATAATTAATTTTTTTACTTTTTCATCAAGATAACCCTACAATTTAAGATTACCATCTTTTCTTAAAGCAATCTCTTATTCAAGTTTAGTTGTTATTCTACTTTCAAAGGCAGCAACTTCTCTTACTCTTTGTTCAAACTAAGTTTCAAAGGCATTATTTTCTTCCTCTATTTGTTTCTAAAGACGAACTATTTCATCTTTTAAAGAGTGCTATATTTAAATAGTATTAAATCCATACAAGTTTTCTATTGTAAGATGTTATTGTGTCTTAAATTCTCTCTTCTACACCATTAATTCTTCCACAAATAGTATCTATTCTATGTGCTTTAGAAGAGTCATGTTATAATTGTATTGAATTTAGTTTTTCAGATATTTTAGCAAATCTTTCGTTGAAAGGTGTATTTGGATTCATTTTTATTAACAAATTTTATTTAAGTATATTTAGAATTTATTAAAAAATAGACATTAATAAATTATAAAAAAAGTAAAAATAGATTTTAGAATAAAGTTGTCAATCAATTAAAAAAAGAAAGAATCAATAGATATTATTAATTACTTGAATATTGTATATTGCTTTTTTTTCTTCCTATTTGTATAAAAATAATATTTTCTACACCTTATAGATTATAATTAATCAGTATTTATAATCTGTTAAATAAGCCTATTCCAAAAAGATTAATTATAAAAATATAAAAGGAATGATAATAGAAATAACGTTACATTTATATAAATATATTTAATTTTCTTTAACAATCTAAATAAACTAATTTATTTATTTTTATATAAAACAATTAAAACAATTAAAATGAAATTTTTAATTAGTTAAGAACCATAGGTAATTCACAACCTCATATCAAAACAAGAAAAAATTAAAAAAACTAAAAAGGTAATTTTAGAAAATAAACAATGAAGAGGCATATTTATAATAAGAATTAATTTAATTCAAGTTTAAAATTAGGTGTAGTTAATGAGGAAAGAAAATTGTTAAAAAAGTTTTTAATTAAAACTAATTTTATTTTATATTATCTTTTATAAAAAAGCAATAGATTTTTAAACTTATCATTATGTTAGAAATTACAATACTTATATTATAAAAGGAATGCATTAATACAATTAAGATGAAAATAACAATCCAACCAATTATATTAATTACTTACTTGATGAAAAATTTATAAAAGAAATCAAAAAAATTTTCATAATTTGTCATTTCAAAATGATACATTGTTTTATGATACTCTATCTCAAATTCATATTAATTTTCAACAATTATTTTATTAATTATTATATACATAATATGAATAGAGCAAGTGAAAGCTAAGAAATCTTAGATCTATAAAATAATAGTAAGAATATCAAGTAAATTATCTAAAAAGAAGTATTAGCAAAAAAGGCAATCGACCATAGCATTATTAAAGAGTTGATGCTAATTTAAGATCATAAATAATAGAACAAGCTTGTATCAAAGGCTAACCATTAAGATAGGTTTAAACTAAAAAATTATGATATAGATTGCTTAAAACTTAGGAATTAAGTACTCTACAGCTAAAGCAATTGTATAGGTATATTAAAACGAAGGTAGAATTGGTAAAAAAAGAACAAGAGATAAAAGAATTTATCAAGAAATAGAAACTTATATATTGATTGTCAATAAGTAAACAGGAAAAGTAGAAAAAAAAAAACTTAAATCAGAATGCAATGACCTCAATTCAAATTTCGAAAATGCTTCCCTAAAGTAAAAGTTTAGAATATAAAAGTCTTGAAGAAAGTCATTATTCTCAAATTGCTCAATACTTAGGAAAGTATAATCTTGATTTTGGTCATGAGAATGTTGTGTAATAAAATGAAAGTATGAATAATCTAGTTAAAATCTTAAATTAATAATACAAATAATTTCAGGAATCTAATGAAAATGATTTAAATTGACATAATATTATAAATAGTTAATTCATTATATTATTTAGAGCCTGATTACATGAATTTATAAAACTTTCAAGTAAATACTTCTATTAATTTTCATTTCATAAATAATTTATTCAAATTTATTTAATTTAAGATAAATAAAAATTAATAATCTTTTTACTGTTAAATTAAATTAATATCTAAATTAAGTTTTATGTTTAGTATTCTTTAAAAATAGATAAAAATAAATGCTTTATATAGATAGAAATCAATTCTTTTTCTTAGATAATTTGAATTTATTATTATTTTTAAATTAAACTTTTTTACCACTAAATAATATTATTGATAAATACATATCAACTCCATTGTTTTTAAGTAATCCATATTTTTTAGAGAGTGGATCATCTAAATAATTCTCTTCAAAAATTGAATCTTTCCATCCTACAGTTTCTGAGTAATAATTTGATTATTGAATGTTTGAAATTTAAGGGTTTTATAGACTTTAATTGAATATTTTGTTAAATTTATTATCTTCAATTTACTATTTATCTTGATTTCCAATTTCTAATTAAATATTATCAATGCTTTTTTTAACCTCTTCAAATTAGTCTAAAACAACTAAAGATTGTTCATATTTGGGTCTTCTGGAGTTATAAGTACTAAGCATGGCACTACCCTAATTTGAAGCAACACTAGGTTATTGAGAATCTGATCTTCTCAAAAGAGGAGGTTATAATTTATTATTTTGAGGAGGAGTTAAGAAATTGTTATTACTTGATTATCTCATTAGATTTTTGTTACCCTTTTCAAGTGATTTCTTCATTTCCTATTAATTTGGAGGTAACAAAGCCTAATTAAGAGTATTAGATCTGTGCATTTCTTAGGATTTTATCATATCATTTGAGCAGATTTTCTTTTGAGATGGTATATCCCAATCATAAGTATAATCTAATATAATTCCTAAACCATCTGCTGACTTTTGAAATAACTTGTATATGTAATTATAATCAGGTTAACTACGATACTATAAGGCCTTTATATATCTTATATAAATTGATTTGATACTCAAGGATAATTGGAAATTCGATAGGTACATCCTTACATAATTCTCTAGGGTCGATTGTCATTTTCATATCTCCAACTTTAGTTGTTCTCTCTTCATCAGTAACATTCTGCATATTTTGCCAAGGTAACTGCCTAGACTTTTTATATTTATAAGATTTCTACCCCTTAATAAAGTACAATAGAACATACATCAGAGATTCCAAGTCATCTTTCATACTCAATTCGTATCCTTTGTGAGCAGCAATAGATGCATATCTTGTAGTTCCTATAAATGAGTTTCCATTTCGAAAAGGTCTAAATTTAGATATCATCATACATTTTTCTCCCATTTTTATCTTAAAATATTTTACTGATTCCAAAATCTATAATATATATTTTTGAAGACTCATTATCTTAGCCAAATAAAATATTTTCAGGTTTTAGATCTCTATGTACAACACCTTTTTCATGAATTCTTTCCAAAACTTTAACAATTTATATTCCTAATTAAATCGTTGTCTTTACAGAAAACCTCCTTTTCTTTTTCATATAGTAAGCAAGATCCTTACCTAGTAGTTAAATTATTATTATATTGTAATCATCTTATTGGCCATACCAATAGAGATTTGGTATTCCTTCTGTATTTGATAACCTTTATAAAACTTAGACTTCTCTTTCTAAAGATTTAACTTCTTAATTTTCTTCTTTTTCTATTTTAATTGCCACATCAATGTTTTCCTCTTTGTCACGACCCAATAAGACTACACCGAAACTACCAGATGAAAGCTTCTTTTAAGCAGTATATCTATCATTAAAAATTGATAATGAAAGCATATAATTATTATTTATTTAATCAATCAGTTCCAAATCACGTCATTTCGTTTTTTCTAAAAGTAATTTTAATGTCTTTTATAAATATCCGAAACACTGAGATTCTTATTTAAATAACATTATCTTTTCTCTTAGAAATTAAATTGTATTAATGGTTATTCAATTGATTATAATTTGTAATCAATTCTTTGATGAAACAAAATCCATCAGAATAATTTAAATAAATATTATTTCTAAATTTGATTAAGAGAATTGTAATTTTTTATTTAAAATTTCTAATGGAGAAATGTTATAAACTAATTGAACGCCAAATGTATGCAGAAGCCTTGGCATCTTTGACTTAGATATTAAAAAGAGAGATCAACAATCCTTAATTGGAGACAATCTATTTAATTTAGCATATTCTAAGCTAAAGTTAAAGATATAAGAATTTGCAAATCAAAATATTAGAAATAGTGAAATAAGAAGAGAATGAAGATGAAGTTGATGATGATAAATATTTCAATCTAGTGCTAGATTTAATTAATCTTTTAATAGATTAAAATAATATTCAACAAGCAAAAAATTGGTCAAAACAATTAAAAAAATATGTTTAAGGAATCTAATATAATGAAAGTTTGTTGTATTTAATAGAAAATTTAGATAACATGTTAGCATACAAGTAAAAAAATATTGATTTGAAAGAATAAGTAAATAAGTTGTTTATCTAAGCTTCAAATTTATGAAGAATTGTCTGAATTAGAGAGAAAGACAAAATATTTTGAATAGGATGGTATGCCTGCATATTTGATACCAACTAGATGGTTTAATAAGTGGAAAAGCTATGTAACTGATACAGCAATTGAATTACCAAATGAAAACTTAAATATTGAAAAAGAAATAGAAGTTTTAGAGAATTTATTCAAAGTTTCAAGTGATCTTGATATTGAAGAGTAAATAACTAATCCAGGACCAATAAATGGATTTACATTAATTTAAGCTTAATCAGCTCTTGAATTAGATCCCTTTGGTCCAAAATCATATACAAATTATATTTTAAAAGAAAATATAAGAGAAGGAGCTGATTTTATACTTGTTGGACATAAAATATATGAATATTTTAAAAATATTTATGGTGGATTTGAAATTAAAAGATTAATAGTAGAACATAGCTAAACACATTAAAAATATGTTGATGTAATTAGTTTTTGATTATATAAAATAGCTAGTACCAAGGATGATATAATTTATAATATTACCAAATGAAGAAAAACATAGAGGTAGATTAATTACTGCAAATAGTAGTGATTTAATATTAGATTTGTGTAAGAAAGTGAATAGAATATTAAAATTGAATAATGAAGTGAGATGGTGGAAGTTTAATGATTTTTAGAGTTAAGAAGAATTTATTAAGAAGTTATAAAAAAGAGAACTATATAAATAAGTATCTGCTAAAGTATTAGACAAAACAACAATGATTGATGAAATTAATTTTACAAGTTCAGATTTATTTATTTGTGAAATTAGATATGGTAGAGATTGGTAAATAAGTGAAATTGATACAAAATAGATATCTTCTGTTAAAAGAAAAATAAATATATCTGATGTTCCTTAAATAATGAATGATTCTCGTAAAGGTGTAACAGGTTTATAAAATTTAGGTAATACTTGTTTTATGAATGCTGCTTTATAATGTTTAAGTAATACTTATGAATTAACTGAATATATGGTTAGTAATGAATTTTATTAACATTTAAATTGTGAAAATCCTTTAGGAACAAAAGGAGCTTTAGCAACTGCTTATGCTGAATTGATGAAAATAATGTGGTATGGTAATAATTCAGCAGTTAGTGCTTATGATTTAAAAAGAGTAATTGGTAAATTTGCTCCATAATTTTATGGTTATGGTTAATAGGATTCACATGAATTTCTATCATATTTATTAGATGGTTTACATGAAGATCTAAATAAAGTATTCAATAAACCAATTGTAAAAGAAGTAGAAATAATAGATGAAACTGATTTTGAAGCATCTCGTATATTTTGGAATAATTATATTCTTAGAAATTAGAGTAAAATTTAATAATTGATGGTGGGTTAATATAAATCAACTCTTGTTTGTCCAAATTGTCATAGAGTTTCTAAAACATTTGATCCTTTTATGAGTCTTTCACTTCCAATCCCATCATATACATTAATATAATTATCCTTATATTTTATATATTAGAATGAGAAAATACCTTTAAAAATATAACTTAACATAAAAAGTGATTAAGATGTAAATTATATTGGATAGGAATTGTCAAAATCTTTGAATATAGAAAAAGATTAGATGAATTTTGTTTTATTAAAAGATCATATGATAAAAGAGAGAATTAAAAAGAAATAGAATGTAAAATGGATTCAAGAACAAGAAGGATAATTATTTGTATATTAAATAGAAAAAGAATTTCATCAATTATCAGATGATTAAATTCATATTGATTTTTATTATTGTAACAAAACAGATCGTTCAAATTTTAATGAATAAATTATAACTTTCCCAAGATAATTTGTACTCTAAAAGTAAAATAAAATAATTGATATTTATTTTAAAATTTATCAATAATTCAAACATAATCTAATATTGATTATTTAAGAACTTGCAGATTAATTATTAAATGAAGGAGTTAATATCTAAGAGTATTGTTAAGGTGTACCTTAAACATTAGAAGAATTCATTAATGAAATTAAATAATTTAAAGTTGAATTGTATAAATTAGTATATAATGGAAAACCAATGGATTATATGAGTTAAGATACACTTGAAAGTTATAAATAAAAAATACTATCTATTCATGTTATATTGAATCCTCTATTTGGTAGAACAGAAATACAAAATCTGAAATTTAAAAGATGCAAAGATTTCAATGATGAACAAAATCGATAATTAAGAAAAGGGGAATATACATTAGAGGATTGTTTAAGATCTTTTGCAAAGTAAGAAGTCTTAGGTAAAGGTGATGAATGGTATTGTAATAGATGTAAATAACATGTATAAGCTACTAAATAGATGGAAATATATAGAGCTCCATAATTATTAATTATTCATTTAAAGAGATTTAGATCTGGAAATAATAGAATAAGTAGTTATGGAAGTTTCTTTTATTCTAATGGATCTTAAAAAATAACAACTATGGTTCATTTTCCAAAAAAATTAAATCTTAATCCTTATGTTCTTTCAAAAGTTAATGATAATGATCCAATAGATTATAATTATGAATTATATGGAGTAGATAATCATTTTGGTGGTTTAGGAGGTGGACATTATACTGCCTGTGCTTATAATTAATTAATAAACAAATGGGTTGATTACAATGATTCAAGTGCAAGAATCACATCAGCAGATGTAGAAAGTGAAGCTGCTTATGTTTTATTTTATAGAAGAACAGACTCTCAAAAATGTAGTTTAGGAAGATGATTAATTTTATTGGTAATGTAAAATATATAATTCAATCTTATTTTTCTTTATATCTTATGATTTTTCTTAAAATCCATGTTAATGTAAATACAATTGTAAATGCTATTATACTAACCAAGTTTAAGTATATCTCTGAAAATACATAATACCAATTTCCTATGTAAGGAACAAATGGATCATGATCTGGTCTACAAAGCATATAATTTAAATTAGCCCAAGTCATCAATGATATTGGTAACATATAAATCTACACTTTAATATTATTCTTACTCTCTAATAAAGTACATGAGAATCCCATCCAAACATTTAATGAACAAAGAATGTTTTATATTCAAAAAAGAAAAATCTTCCACTTAATGTTAATGCTAAGGGACCTGCAAAAGCTCCAAGAAGATGTTCTATCCAAAAGAATTCAACTTCTAATGGTAATTCCATACCTGTAGTAACTGGAAATTTCAATGCCTATAGTTTAGAGAATAATTCAATACTGCAAATACTCCATATAGCCATCTTAATTGACATATAAAAATCACAGCACTAAATTTATGCTTTTTAGTCAATAACACATATCCTTACATCAATAACACTATATGACATGGATTATTCATAAACACACCTATGTAATTGTCTTATTCTCACATATACCCCTTCCTGTATATAATTTATATCCAGTTTAAACAGCAAATGTTCCCCAACATGCCAATCCAACTATATACTCAAAAATATTAGGTTTCTTTCCTATAGCTCTTGACAATTCCTAAGATGTTTTTATTTTTGCCCAACATTTTTCTTTATTTGAACAAATTTTTACACATCACTAGAATGCAAATTATTGCAGAAATTGTTGAGATTGAAATACGAAAGGTGTTGGTCATATCATTATAACAATTTGGTCCACCATCTGATAAGTGTTAATATGTCTCTGTGTAGATATTACCATAGAGTCCCCAGCGTACAATATCCATTAATTAAAATTCTATGACTAATTAACCAACTGTTTATGAATAATAGATGATTAGAGATTAAGGTGAAGATTTCAGAATAAGAGTTAAATCAGCCATAAAGAAATTTGATTCAATCGCTAACTTTCTTAAATTATCTATGAGAAAAATCATCAAAGAAATGGTTAAAGAATTGTTGTCAGTTGAAGATGATGAAACATTAGTTAACAATTTTTATTTTGTATAATATAACAATTTATACAATAGAAATATTTTACAAGATATGAAGACTAGCATTTTAGATTTATGATGCAAAGTTTAAATTTCATATTTGATTAAGAGACTCATTTTGATTTTAATGATGATCTCAATTATAAATATATTGCTATTATTTATACAGAACAAATTAGAAATTACCTTAAGGATTAGAATGATAAAGGATTAATAAGGTTATGGAACAAATTAAATTTGTTAAAAAAACAAAAAGAAACTGATGAAGTTGAAGAAGGATTTTGGGATGGATTGGACACTGAAAATTGTAGTTCATAATCAAAGAATAAAAAATTTGGAAAAAATGTATATCAATATTACTATATATATATAGAATATAAATGAAAATGAAAATGAATTTTGTCATACTAGAAAAGAAATGTAATTAAAGGATTTATTAATTTAATCATTGTAAACTAAACTATTCTAGAGAGAATAAAATTTAGTTTAAACAACATAAGGTTATCTTAAAGAATTATAATCTTTAAGAGAATAATTATTTCGAAAAGATTAGGCTCTAATTTTACCAGATGAACCATTTGAAGTTACTTTTATGGATTTTACAGAAGTTCTTGATCCAAATATAAAGAAATTATTTACAACTCATATAATTGATCTTAAATTCTAATTTAATAATAGGATAATAGATTACATTAAATTAATGTAAAATTATTTATTATTATAAGATAGTCTCAAAAAGAAGAAATTAAAAACTATAAATTATAAATCTAAAAATTGAATTAACAATTAAATAATATCGATGGACCATCTGAACTTTTAAAAAAGCTTTTTACTATTGATAATAATCCATATAGAATTTGGAAGTATATTGCAGATTTAAAAGGAAATCATTTTTTCAAAGAAGTATTTGAACAATAAAAAGCTGTATATGGTATAAATTATCAAGAACTAAACAAATTATTAATGACAAATAAAGCATTTGAAAGAGAGTATTAAACTTATAAGGAATAAATTTTTTAAGAATAATTAGTGTTTTTTGAAAGAGCTCAATAAGAAATAGAAGAAATAATGAAAAAATATGTTAAGCTTGAATAAGAGAAGATTTAAATTGAAAATTAAAAAGCACTAGAAAAATAATAATATCTTTAATTAGCTGCCTAGTATTATGATGAAAAGATAAAATTAGAATTAGAAATTCTTAATGATATAAAGAAACAAGAATTATAAGCAATTAATCAATAAACTAATTAAATTGATAAGATCAAAATTAAATTTGCATTTAAGTTATGGCTTACAATGAGTAAAGTTCATAAAAATGAGGAAATAATGAAAATTTTAAAAGAAAATGAATATTTTGATGAAAAATTAAAAAGTTTTCAATTAAAAAATCAAGAATTATCTCAATTATTAATAATTGAAAAGAAAACAAATACTAATTTAATAGCTAAATCAACACTTTTGGAATTAGATATAGAAAAATAAAAGAAAGAGTTAACTCATTATAAATGTAATTTTATTAAAATAATATTATTATAGTTATTTTTGATGATTAGCAATACTAAAATTAAGAATTGTAGGAAAAATTAAATCAGAAAGAAAAGGAGTATCAATTACTTAACTCATTCTCTTAGAAAATTCTAAGATTAATTGATTCTAGATTAGCTAATGTAAAATTAATAATATATATAGTTAAAACCATAAGATATAAATTTAGATGATAAATCAAAAGAAGTGGTTAAAAGTATTATGAACTCAATAAAATAATTAAATATTAAATCTTTAAGATCAATTGAAGAAATAAAGTAATAAGGATAATTAAATTTAGAAGTTTATGTATAATTTATTATTGATTTTAAGCAAACTCTTACATAATAGTTAAAAAAGCATTAAGAAACATAAACTGAAGTAATACTCCCTTAATAAAAATAAAATACAAAAGTAACAGAATCATCAGAGGAAATCAATAAAAAGTCATATCTTATATAAAAATCATAAAATAGTTAAGCTGATGAACAACTTTTATAATCAGATGAGATTGTTAAAAAAAATGATTAATAAACTAAACCTAAATTAATCATTAATTAACTTCCTGATAGTTAAGAAGAAATGAAATAATAAAAAGAATTAGAAGAATAATCAACTAAATTATCACCTTTAAAAGTATTGTAAAATTTTGATTATAAAAATGTTATTCCTTAAAAAAAATAATCTCCTGATAAAACAATAAAAAAATTTTAAGAATATTAAGAGTATTAATCTGATTAAGTGATTTAATTATTAGAAGTAAGTGAATAAGTAGAACATGAATAGACTCAACGTCTAAATAAAAATTAATAAAAAGTTGAATAATCAAGTTCATAAAATTAAAAATAAAATAAAAATAGAAAAAACTGTTTTACTAGTTAATAATAAAAAAGGAGAGATGATCCAAATTAATAAAATTTAATATCATCAACAAGAAATAGCAGATCATTTAGGGTCAGAGGAAATTCTTAAAATAACAATTATTCTATACCAATTGTTCATGAAAAATTATATGCAGATAGTTAAGAAAAATAGGAAAGAATAAAAAATTTAAAGGAAAATCTTGAACTTTTAGAAAAAAATCATTGGGATAAGATTTTGGATTTATTTAGTTAATAACCATCTGGTAATTATATTTTGAATAAATGCATTCCATCTAAAATTAATGAATCATAATTTTAGTTTCTTGAAACTTCAACTTATTTTTCTCAATAACATAAAAAATACTACAATTAAACAAAAAGCAAAACTCCAAATAGAGAAAAATTTAAATCATGGATTATGAAACAAACAGGATGTATAGATAGAATGTTTGATACTTTAAATAACTTATAAAAGCCAAATTAAGATTCAATAAATCAAACAGATTCGATTATCAATTCTTCTACATTATTACCAAATCACATTTTTGCTTTTAAAAAGAAAACTTGATTTAAATTGATAGCTAATAACATTAACTATTTCTATATTTAATATTTTTTTTTTATATTAAAATACTCATTATTTGAGTATTAAGTTATTCTTGTTTATTCAATTTTTAATATCATAATGCATAGTTTCCACATACATTTATATATACCTCTAATATTTTTCTATTGTCTAGATTTTTTAATTAGCTAATTTTCTATTTATATCTATATCTAATTCCTTTTACTTTTTAATTTCCTTAACAACTGTTTCTCCTTTTGTTTTTTATAGATAACACTTTAATATGGCTACTTTTTATTGATCCAAGTTTCTGATATTCTCATTTTTTTTTAAGTTAGAATGTTTTCTAAATGTTTTTAAAAAGATTAAATTTGATAATTTTTTATCCTTTTACAAATTACCTTATAAATATTCCAAGATCATTATTTTTTATTTATTTAGAATTGAATAGAATATAAATTTACTCTCTAATATTCTAAAATTCTTTGGATATTGCTATTTACTTTAGAATAAGATAAGATTTGTCTAAATTTATGGAACACATATTTTATTTCAAATATGGTCACAATTAAATTTTTAATAACTGATTCACTTATAAATAACAACTAATTTAGAAAATAATATTAGTTAGCATGTAAATTGTTTACAATCTCAATTAAGTTTTAACAAATATTACTTTTGGTAACAGGATAATATTCAAGAATAACTAATTCATTTTATTAAAATTTTTTATGCTATTTTAAAATTTACTTTATTTTTCATTTAACTGATATATATAGTATTCTAATTTATTCACTTTTATGGAAGATGATTCAATTATACTTAAAATTGATTTATAATTGAATAATTGATTTAAGAAGAAATTCAAAATTTGATTAGATTTCAATAAAGTAACAAATATGATTAAACATTAGTAAATTAAGCTGATTTTGTATTAATTTGATTGGAATTAGAAAATAATTAAGTTTATGTGTTTTAATTCTTAAGAAATATTAATATTGAATTATTTTGAACTTGGCAATCAATTTTTCTTAATTTGTATAATATTTCATTTGATATGAGGAGTGGAAATATGAAATTCCAATAGAGAAACTATTATTTATTAAATAATGAACAGAAATGTTTGGACATTATAACTTAATTTTTAATTGAAAATACACAATATGAATTGTTAAATTGTCATAAATTATTTATCTGAATAGAATGTGTTATTTAAAAAAAGAAATATTGAAATATTAAAAAGAGTTCTATGTATATTAAACAATTATCATAATTTAGTTAATATTTGTTTGTGATAATGGGAGAAGAAACATGTCTAGCATATTGGAATTATTTAATATGCTTATTATAATAATATATATATAAAATGTATTAAGTCCCCCCCCTTATCATTGCATTTTTTAACCTGATGTAATTGAGGATTTGATTTTTAATATTTTATTTATTTACTTTTCAATATCAGTTACATGTTGAATAGTAAGAGAGCGCGTTGGATGTTCCAAACAATAGCTGATTCATTTCGGTTAAAGGATGGAAATGTGGTTTAGGTTAGTTTTGAAGTCTTATTTGTTAGGATCTCTTAAAAGATAAGTCTAGACTTGAGAAATTCTTAGAAGGAGAGGGTCCAAACAAGATAATTATCTATTATCAGATATAAGATAACTAATAAACTGATGATATGAAGGAAAATCAAAATGAGCCATCACTTTTTATTTAATTTGGAGATTAAGAAAAAATCAAAGAGAAAGCCATATGGTTTTTAAGAATGTAAGTACCTACATGCATTTTTTTATCTATCATCTTCCTTATATTTAAAAATTAAATCTTTATGAATTATTTTT